TAAAGGCATATTTTTGATTATGCGCATTCATTAACTGTTGTTGTTGTTAGGTGCCTTCAAGTAGGTTCCCGCCCATAACGACCACATGGACCAGCAGAACGAAACACTGCTTGGTTCTGTGCCATCCTCGCAATTGTTTCTATGTTACAGCCACTGTGTCAGTCCATCTCGTCGAAGATCTTCTCTTTTTTGCTACCCCTCTACTTTACCAAACATGATGTCCTTCTCCAGATGTGGGTCTCTCCTAATAACATGTCCAAAACATGTGAGATGAAGTTTTGCTGTCGCTGCTTCTAAGGAGCATTCTGGCTGTATTTCTTCTAATACAGATTTGTTTGTTCTTTTGACAGCCTATGGTGCTTTCAAGATTATTCCCAGCACCGTGATTCAAATGCACCGATTCTTGTTTGGGCTTCATTACACAATGTCCAACAACTTCCACATGCATATGAGGTGGTGGAAAATACTATGACTTGGGTCAGATGCATCTGTGGTAGTTACACAATCTCAGGTCAACTTAAGGATAGGAGTGAGGAGGTGGAGTCTAGCCTGTCAACCAGGTCACAGCCTGATGATGTCTCCCTGTGGGCGTGGTCTTCTCATGAGGATTCTGGGAATTTTCTCTCTTTCTTCAGGGAGGTGGGCTACACTCTCTGCTTCACCTTCCTATGGAGGAGCCACGTGGAGACCCACGCCAGCGCGGAGATGATTTCACTGCCATTGGTTCCACATGACTTTTCACTCACCAGCCTGTAATCATCCTACATTCGCATCATTGTAAGTGGCTGTGTGAGTCTCAAAAGGAATTTATGGACTAGTATCAGACCTATGGACCTAGTATCAGACCTCTGGCTACTATAATATGGCTAATATCAGACCTATAGCTAGTATCAGACCTATGGCAGACCTATGGCTAATATAAGACTTATGAACTTGATCTGGACTGGGCTGGGATATTTTCTCAAGATACAATTGCTCTTTGGTATAAAGCTCTCTCTTACACACACGAGGGTCAATGAATTTTTTCTCTAGTCAACCTGGTCTAAACACAGCCTCATCGTCCTCAAAGTAACATCTTTGCTTTTCAATACCTTAAAGTGGTTTGGTGCAGTGGATTTAAATGAATGAGTTCATTTACTGGACATTTACTGACCTGGACTTTGACTCACTCAGTTAACATGTATATACAAGGCAGCCAGGTAAAATGTCGGGAGTTGTACCATTTCCCACACGGTCACCTTGGAATTCTCACTAGACCCCTTCATCTGACCTCCTTCTCCTTGGTTACTTCTTGCTCTTCGAGCTTCCCACATCCCTCTCTCCTCAGGAGACTTCGCAGTCACCCAACTCTCAGGCTAAGTTGGCGTTCTTCTGCAAGGTCAGCAGTTTGAAATCACCAGTTCCAGCCTCAAAAGCCCACAGGGGCAGTTCTACTACCCACAGGGGCACTTCTACTACCCACAGGGGCAGTTCTACTACCCACAGGGGCAGTTCTACTGCCCACAGGGGGCAGTTCTACTACCCACGGGGGCACTTCTACTACCCACAGGGGCACTTCTACTACCCACAGGGGCACTTCTACTACCCACAGGGACACTTCTACTACCCACAGGGGCAGTTCTACTACCCACAGGGGCAGGTCTACCGGGCCCTGTAGGGTGGCTGTCAGTTGGCGCCGACTCGATGGCTGAGCGGGTTTTGCTGTTGTTGGAAGGCCCTTCACAGAAGGGAATGT